AGTGCTTGTTCTTACATCTTATGTTAAAGTCACGCAGAAGATGTTCCTTTTACATAAAAATTTATGGGTTCCTTGGTGCTCTCTGAGCTTGGTTGTTTTCTTGCAGACATTTCATTAACCCGAGGTAGGTAACATCACCAGTGCTAGACTAGCACTGGTGATGTTACCTAGTTTGGGTACTGAAATGTCTGCAAGAAAACAACCAAGCTCAGAGAGCACCAAGGAACCCTCATTTCAACCCTGAGCTACAAATATTCTCCTTTATTAGTACAAAGAGATTTTGCTACCTTTTCCCAAGTCATACTTCTATCTGAAAGAAGTAAGATAGCAGTGGTGGAGTGGCTGATGGAGAGGAAGTTTGTATGAGAGGAAGAATAGAGGAATAGTAGATTAAAATTCTAGTTCTATCTATTACAACTACTAAGGAAGCATGCAGGTAGCAACCCTGTGAAACCATTAAGCAATCTCAAGAAACTGCATTTTGAAAAACAATGAAACCTTAAACTTAATAAAGTTTCAGCCAGAATAGTTCAGATATGGTGCAGAGTTTGTCCAAAATAATTTTTAAACACACTTCTGATAAGTCAACAAACCTTTTCAGTCAAATGATGCAATTTCGAATAAAAATTTAACAAATATTTGGTTATAGTGACAGTATTTTAGACAGATTAATCCTAAAAATAAATTGTAGCTAAGAAGAATATTCTAATTCATATTTATTGCCTTGTGGATATTTGTAGCACCTTGCAAATAAGTGTATTTAATAATTGATAGCTATATAGTATAGCAAACAATTATATATCAATGTTCCCTAGTAGATAAGTACCACCATTGCTATTCATCACATGTGAAGGTTGCAACAGGGGGAAAAAGCTCTAAAAGCACAGTTGAAATGTCTTAGATTAAAAGTTGATATGGTTTTAAGTTTATAAAATCTCACACTTGGGCATCATGCAAACCCCTCTACAAAACTACACTGAAGCCAAAATAAAAAATACGACACTGATTTATTCCCTATACATGGATCCTCCCCTTCAAAAATATAGCAAGACCCAGACAAAGCAATGTCTCCAAAATTCTGTACTGCATCACATGCTATAAGAGTTACATAGGCAATATTTTCAGAATTTATTATTGTTTGCTTTACTTTTTTGAGAGTCTTTAATTTGGAATCTAATTTTTTATCAATTGTAACACTCTATGAGTAAAACAAATACTACAGGCCAGAAATATGTGTCATGAATTGCTATTAGAAATTGCCAGTAATGTTTGCTACCAGCAAATAGACAAAGAATATAAATGATTAATGTCAGGTATTGCTTATTGTAGAAAAGTCTAGAAATTTTAAGAAATGTAATACAAACTTAAAGTAGTGTTGTTCTTAATGCATTATTTTAAACTTAGCATTAATGAACTGTTTCTAACTGTTGAAATAAGGATCCAAAGCAGTGTGCAATTCTCCTCTTTCTGCATTTCATTTTGTATTAAGAGTTAAGACATAAAGGGCAATGTATTCAAAATGAAACTAGACAGAAGTTCCTGGAAACTGTTGCATGCACCTCCCACAATATCAAGATTTAGTTTACAGTCCTGTTGTTTTCTGGATGATGAAAAATAATTCCCCACTCCAGACCAACAACTATAACAAAACAACCTCATTACAATTCTGCTCGTAAGGATAAAGCTACACCTCTGTACCAACAAATTTGCAAACTTATTCAAACCACCTCATTTCTTAAATGAAAACATTTCTCCTTAAAACTTCTGTTGATAGCAAACTTCTTACCAAATCCTTCATCCAATTATATACAGTTTTATTTCAGTCCATACCATAGCTAAGCCCACCTTAAAGTTAATGACAAGATAGTTTTCAGCTAAAGATGAGTCTCTTTATAAAAGTATTCCAATGTACAACTTATGTTGGCATTTCTATTCTTGCCTTCTAAAACAGACATGTCAAACTCGCGATGCAACATATCGGGACGGTTTTGCCATTGCCGCCAATGGGGTGGGTGCGGCTTCCGGATGACGCGTCTGGCCCATGGACCGGCAGTTTGGCACTCCTGTTCTAAAACATTCTTCTATGCTTCTGATAGCTTGAAGAGATCTGTAAATATTCTGTGCCATGGAATCCTTTTAACAATCTTTCATTCTTCCAATGCACTTCCCCATTTCTTTAACCTAAGCACTTTTTCCTATTGACATTTTCTATCTCCGATTTGACCATTCTTGAGGAGCACTTCACTGTTTTTTTCATTCATGTGCAGTCAATGTTCTAGTCTCAAATAATTTCAACATATGCTTTCTAGCCAGTTTCTATTCTGTACCTAATCCTCCCACAATTTCTTTTAATAAGCAATTTCTTTTATTAAGCAATTTCTTTTAATAACCAAATTTAATGTATCTTATAGCAGGGCTTTTCAACCAGTGGTATGAGTACCACCTGTGGTACATTGGCACCTGGCAGGTGTTATGCGACCATCCTAGAAAAGTGGTAGCGGGGGAGGGGAATGAGCTGAACCAGTGGCAGCACCGCACAAGCCTGAGCGAGAGATGGCTGGAGCTGCAGGGCTGTCAGGGCTCAGTGGAAGTGCCAAAATCAGCGCCAGACTCCAGCTGCAGGGCTGTCAGGGCCCAGAAGAAGCGCCGATCAGCTGGAATGTTGCAGCATCTCCAGGGTCTTGTGATTTACATTCAGATGCCTGGCAACTGATTCATATTTATGACAGTCACAGTGTCCCAGGGTCATGTGAAGTGACCAAAACCTGCTGCAACCACCCAGCAGACGGGGGAATAAAAACCAAACACCCCTCCACCTCACCCCAGCTGCCAATCCTCAACAGAAATGCTCACAACAATGAAAACCTCAGACAGGAAGAAGAGCACCGCCAGGTGGGCAGGCAGGTGTCTTGCTCGGCTGTGGCTTGGGGGGCACTTTTTTCAGTGCCATTGTAACTTCGAACAGTAACTAAGCAAACTGTTGTAAGTCGAGGACTACCTGTACTTTATCACTTTTTCCTTTTGGGGGAGGGTCATCAAGTTTTTGACACCTTGCTAGGCGACTGGTGGTACTCGGATGTTGCCATATCCTAAAAGTGGTACAATGGGTGAAAAGGTTGAAAAGCCCTGTCTTATAGTACTGAACTTCTATTTTAAATGCAATTCTCTTCAAATACACAGAATTTAGATTTTTAACCAGTTTTTACATACTGGTCAATACATCCTTTCTCATTTTGAAATACAGATCTCATAAACTCTGAATTCCCATTTGTGTGATCACTTCTTCAGAGCAACAAAAATATTAAGTGTTCCTAAATACTCAAGTATATAGAAACTTTTTGCATATTTTGTGTATTACTTTAAATTCTACTTTTCTGTCAAAAGCAGGATTTAAAGCAGCCACCTCCAAAATACAAAATAAGAATGATAGGAACATTAGTATTTTATCATTCACCCACAAATAAACCAGCAGGTTGTTTCAAAGCACCTGAATACAACTTTATTCTCAGTTGCATAAGTTTGGAAGTTATGCTGGGTGTGATCAGGTTAATACTTGGATGGAGACTGTCAGAGAACACCAGTTATAGCTCTCTGGTTAAAGCTCATGTTGAAGGAGACCCCACCTCTTATACAGCTCTAAATTTATTTCCTGGCATTAACTTTTTTTCCTGTTTTTAACCAATCTTATACTATCTAAACTAAGGGTCCCTAACCCCCGGACCATGGACCAGCACCGGGCCGTGGCATGCCAGCAACTGGGCTGCACAAACAAGCAAAGCCCCATCTGATGGATGCAGGCAGCACACAAAACCACGCCCCCTCTGGTCCGTGGAAAAACCTCTCTCCACATAACCGGTCTCTGGTGCCCAAAAGGTTGGGGACCTCTGATCTAAACTCAATCTCTTTGTCAAGATATGCCCCTCCAAACATTGCAACAGAATATTTGTAAAGTACCCTTCCCCCATTGCTGGATTCAGCTTCCAACCCCCTTCATACTGTATTCCTAACACTCAATGGTTAAAGAAAGGCTTCAAAAGTAACATATATTATCTATATATCTTTTATACAAGATCCTAAATAGCTAAACCAAAGCATCACTTTTCAGAAACAAACCTCAGCCGATTCTCTACTGCTTTCAGTCAAATAAATCTATGAAATAAATCATGCCCCACCCACTTTTCCTAAAGCCTTCATTCAGCCCCACAAAATTGTTCCTCATATTCAAATACTACCCAGAGCACCAGCAGTTTCTTCCTTGCCATCTCTTCAGTGGGCTCCTCAATTCCTTCCACTAATTCTACTTGGCTTTTTCTCCTCTTTTAACTGCAGACTCTTTGATACCCTCCCTACCCCAACCTTAATTTCCTCTTATTGGCAGCTTTTGTGAATCTCAGTCTGATACCCACCTCTTATCCATCATTCTCTCCAAGACCTCTCCCAGTCCTCCTTATATAACTGTTCGTTCCCTAAATCCGAACCCTCCAAATGTGATCTACAATCCCTATTATCGCAATCAAAAGATGGCAATTATAATTCCAAACATCTGAAAAATGTTTATGAAAAAAAAATACCCCAGCTCGTTAGACGGAGACGGTGCCTGTGTATATATGGGGGGACGGGGGGGGGGAAACGGGACTACTTGCTTATTTCCTTACCCAAGCAAGCTTCTCCCAGATGATCCACATCGCCGTTTGTAAGGTACCCCTCCCAGGCCCCCAATTCTTAAGTTTTCTGGCCGAGATACCCCCAATCATAAGTTTCCCCCGCCACATTCGCCAGCCCCTATTTCCTTACCAACTCCCCGAAATACCCAAACAGAGATCTCTTTTAGTTGTAACTCCTGACCTCCATCTCTCAATTTAGCCCAGCACACTCCTTCCTCGCCCTGCACCACGGCCACCAGCCCGCATTTGGCTTCTCCCACCTTCCGGGACGCCCGTTCCCGAGTCCATCGTTCCCGCGATCTAGAACCGAGTCCAGCCAGCCAGGGTCTCGCTTACCTGCTAGGGTTCCAGAGAGAGTCGAGGGACACACGGGATCCCCTCTCCCTCGGCTGGGCGGCGCGGCGCTGGCTCCCAACCCAGCCAGCCGGGATCCCTGCTTAGGGATGGCCAAATGCTTGCGTGCTGAGATGAGGAAAGAGGAAGAGGAGGAGGCGGCGGGGGGGGGGAGAGGAGGAGGAGAGGGCGGCGGCAGCAGCAAGTGAGCCCCACCCCCTCCCCGCCAGATTTCGGCGACAACAAGAGTCGTTACTCCTCCCCCGTGCAGGAATAGCCCTGGACTCCGAGGAAGGAGGGGCGTGTGTGCGCCCACTCTTCCTCGTCCTTCTCGAGCCCTCCTAGCTATTGGCCAGCCACGCCCCACCTTGCCCAGCAACTGATTTTTACTGGCTTTCAGTTCGCGGGGTCGACTTCGTCTCGGAGAGGAGCTCTGAGTTAAAGAGGGCGGAGCTAGACTTGGGCGGCCGTCCAATGAAATATTCACCCGCTACTTCTTCCTCCCTCCTTTTTTTCCTTTTGCTCAGCCGCGGCTTCTTCTAATGCAGAAGGTCTTTGCCTCCCTCGGGGAGGACGGGGGCAGTTTTTGTGATGGTGGAAAAGGGCAAGTGAGGCCTTTTGGTAGCCGGAGGCGGAGATGTTTATTTAAAGACAGCCCTTACTTATTTCGGTGGGAGCTCCTCCCTATAACCACCTTTAGAAATACCGTACAGCCGTATAGATAAATAATCCCCATTTATCCAGTGTTTCTCTCATTCCACTTTAAACTCCCTCTTGTGAAGGGGGCTTTTGCACGAGTTCACTAGGAAGGAACATCGGGGACACTGCCTTTGTGCTAAGGTGGCAATCCGGGAGTATCTCAGTCACAGCCCTACATGTGGAAAGCAAAAAATATAGCGGGTCTCCGATCTTTGCCCAGTCCTGAACTCCCAAAATAGCTCCACTCTCCTCTGGTCTATCCTAACGGGGGTCGCGGTTTCCCCGAAGCATTGGCGTTCCACAAGGATTCATCTTGAACAGAATTAATCACCTCAGTCTGACGCTTTAAGGATGATGACCCCACATCCCATTTCAACTCGGGCGCTGAGGAAAAGTTAGTAATGGCGCCGGTAAGGGCACACACCCCTAAGTTAAATCGAACTTACTTATACAGGAGGACTCATTGCAGGAGGCAGTTCACTGTATTTTATGTTTAGTTCCATAATTATAAAGTGCTTTGGGGTAGAATCGGTTTTGGATTGTTTAAAATAATGGTTGGCTTTGTGACAGCAAATTCTTCCTGTGAACCAGAATCCCATCATAGTTTACATGACGATGTTTATTTGCAGATAAACTTGTTTTACATATTACTGAAACGTAGTTGAAACGGGATAAAAGTGCGGGCCACAGAGATTTTGCTGTCATAAGTTTCAGGTCAAACAGCAGCCTCAGTGTCAGCTGTGCCTCAGAGCAGCTGCTGTGTGATCTGAACATGAAATTATTATTTTGAGTACTTTGACATGGTTGCAACCTAAGACCTCTACAGGTGGAAGGACCAATTAAGATGGTCTCCCCTAAACATCTTACAGATCTTGATAAATTCCTATGGGGTTGTTTGGATTTCCTAGTGACCTGATAGATAAAATAGGATCTTACCAAGGAAGGCAGAGGAATTGAATTCCTTGCTATTATTATTATTTTTTAATGATGTAATTGTGGAAATTAGCTGCAAAAAAATTAAGGGCTCTTAGGTCTAAATAAATTTGAGAATCGACTAATCCATTTTCCTTATTCATATAATATACTAATCTGTATCCCCATTGTTCATTTTCTTGTGTCATGCAACAGAATTATTCTTATATGTAATGTAGGAGAAAACATGGCGTTGGTTAGGACAAGCAAAACATTCCTCTCCCTAAATTACCTTCCCAAACAATAGGCCATGCTAGCTCAGTGATAAAAAGAACGTAGAAGGCCAAGCAATGTTGATAAAACTCAGAAAAGATACTGGGAGGCAAGCAAAGTATTTGGGAAACAAAGCCAATATAAGATAAACCCCCCTCCCAAAAAACAATTCTTTAGTACTATGTACTCTTGTCAATACATCATTGTTTTTCTAGTTCTACACTGTTATTACATACAAAATGCCCCATATATGGACCCACCACATGAACCATTCAAATGTATGTTTAAATCATGCCGTTTAATCATATATTTATTTCTATTTCTATAACCCTATATGAAAGGGGTTGCATCTCCAGCTCTTTTTAGGTTTCATTTAGTTGAGTAAAGTAAGAGAGAAATCTTGTGTGCTATTTGAGGGAAATCTGTTTCTTCCAAAATAAAAGGTTTTCTTGGACCCATTGTCCCTTCACTCAAATGGAATGTTCAGAGATATCAATAAATATTCAGATATTAAGAGTGTTCCCACATGTTGTTTTACCACCCCATTTGGTTCTGTTAAATAAATCCACACACAAATCAGCAAAAGAAAAAGGGGTTAAGAAATGCAGTTAACATTAGTGATTCATACCCTGAACATTCTGTGATACCAAAGCTTTTTAAGTGTTGACAATAGATGGCTTCCATTTAACATTTCTATTGTTTCATAATGCAGTTATTCCTTGATTAACAACAATTAGGACCAACAACTTCGTTGCTATGCACAAAATCAATGACTGACAGGCTTACAATTTAGGATTAGGGGTTAGGGTTGTTAAGAGCTAGGGTTAGGGTTAGCATTTGCTAAACACTTAGTGTTTGCTAAGTGCAAAATCGTGATCATGTACAATTTTATTTCTGCCTTCTGTATTAACTGCTCATTGCAAGCTGGTTATGAAGCATACAAATAGTGATCAGGTGTCTATAGGATGCTGCAGTGGTCATAAATGCAAGGATTGGTCACAAAATTACTTGTTTAGCACCATCATAACTTCAAATGTCACTGCATGAGGCTGTTGGTAGGTAAGCAAGGGTTATCTATAATAATCAGCAGATTTTACTCCCAAATGTATCTCCTGTCAATTGCAAATGATCAAGAGTACAAAGCCAACAGTCATTTAATACAAGTATATGTGAAAGAATTCCAGCCAACAGTCATTTAATACAAGTATATGTGAAAGAATTTTAGGGCAGAAACAGTATAATGCTGGAACAGAGACTTTCAGGGTACACTTGCTCAAGTTCAAATTGTCCAATAATGATTATTATTGTTAACCTGATCATATTTCAGCTGGTCTTTCTTCACTTCTCTTTTGGAGGAGAGATAATAACTACTTATTAGATAGCAGATCCTCTGAAGGAGTTACTTTCCAGCGATGGGATGTTTGTGTCTAGGTAGTTTAACCCTTGCATTTCAGAGCAGTGTGAACTATTCCAACATTTTATGGTGTAGTCCTGTCCCCTGTGATGAGAGACAAATGTTTCTCCAGTTTTCATGTAGGAGGATATTGCTGAGTTAGGAGCTGAGGATGCTAGTTTCATCATGGAGGAAATAGAAGTCATTTAATAAGGGACAGAGAGTGCTTTACTAGATCTTTCCCCAGGCTAGCAAGGTTTTCTTTTACAATAAGCCAATTGGGGCTGGTTTGTCCTAGCATTGGCCAACCATTCACAATTTTAAAAGGGAAAGATCATGTTTTCTGTTAGGAATAGTTTTGCCCATGAAAATTTCCCTATGTGGGATGACATTTGGCTTAGAAACCAGCATTTTAATGTCTCGGTTCCACCTTTTTATACAGACAGAACTTTGTGTATTTGGGATGTGGATCTGTAACTTTATAATCATAGTTTTGTAAATATTATGGTCATCTGACTGCTGAAATGAGCATTCATACTGGAATCCTACCAGAGGAGCAAGTCCCACTTAGTAAAAAAATAAAATAAAAATAAAGTTAACAGGTTCTTTGCTACAGTGCCATCCACACAGTGATGGGTAAGATGTTATCCTGGGAAAGTACAGATAGTTATCAACAAATAACAAAGCCCATTTTTTGGGGAATCTATCAGAATGGTATATAAACTCTACTTTCCCTTAAGCTCTGAGAGAGAAACAGATACAGAGTGTCTCCATGTTCTGTATAAAGTTTTACATGACTTCCAGCACCACTTTTCAGGTGAGGGGATGAAATTTATTTTTAATTTAGATAGATAGATGCTAAAGGTAGTGTATTGTATGTAGTCCCGAGTACAATGTTCATAAACAGGAGCTGTACTGCATGGAATAAGATCTGGCTATGGACCTCTGAAAATTTCTGTTGAAGTTGAAACTGCTTATTGATGATCAATGTAACATTCCTTTTGGGTGTTCTGCAAAACTTAGAAGGGTTCCTGAGCCTAAGATCTAGTGACTGAGAGAATAACTTCTCCTTTGTGCAGAAGTCAAGAGGAATACAGATATTAATTGTCTTGAAGGGTAAAAGAAGCATACTAGACAAACAAATATTGACCCTCCCCTGTTTTTTGCATGAGATTCTTTCTGCATGATACAAATCAAATGTGGAGCCTTGGGCATCAGTCTGGATGTTGCCAGATCCCTTGGGAGTCTGCTACACATCTTACACATAACAGCAGCAGTATTCCTGAGTGCAGGCTCCATTTTGTAGTCATTTGAACTGAATTTGAGTAGGAAATGGAGATTGAATGTCCCCCAGGGGAGAAGGAGCAGTGTTATAAGCTGCTGCCGATTATAAAGCTACTTTCCCTTCACCTTCCAAAGAGTAAAGCTGTAAGTGTATGCACTTGGATGCACACCTTCCAAGTGGAAACACAGAAGTTGCAAAATTCTGAGATCAGAAGTGAGGGAACCAGAACTCCTTGGTAGATTTTGTATAGGTATGCCATTTCGTATATATTTAATGGCCCAAGAGCCATAAATATATTGTGTAAGTTTAAATGGAGTTCCACTAGCTAAATCTGTAGCTGAGATATGACATACTATACTCTAGTACAGTGATGGAAAACCTTTTAGAGACCCAGTGCCCAAAATGCAACCCAAAACCCACTTATCACCGGGTGCCGGGTGGGCGTGGCCGTGGTAGTCATGGCAGACTGGGTGGGTGGGGCCAGGGTGGCGGGGGCCAGTCCCTCATCATCTCTGGGGCATGGCACGTGTGCCCACAGAGAGG